AAAAAAATAGAAATTTCTCTTGATGATGCTTAGTCATTACATGTTTGCAAGGGAGTAGAAAGAAGTAATACTTATCTAGTTCTACCCCTAGTGATCCAAACTATGGTTGACACAACCCAAATATTTAACTAAACAACTACACTGGTTAAATTCCCGCAACCACCAAATTACTACATTCCTTCTAACCACAAATCACATTTACATAATTAGAAAACAAATGTTAAACAATAAATTATTCATATCCCACCCATAAATACACCGATAATATCTTAATAAGATCATTACACTTCCTGTATCCAATACCCAGCTATGCAGGCCTTTTTATATTTATTCTTAAATTGTTTTACACTTGTACATTGTTTTAAATCATCACCCAATCTATTCCATAATTTTACACCACTCACAGATATACAAAAACTTTTCCTAGTTGTACGTATGGCCTGAGTTTTTAAATTTAAGTGGCCCCTCAATCCATAACCACCCTCTCGATCACCAAACAGACCCCGAATACCACTTGGCACCAAATTATATCTGACTTTATACATAAATACAGCAGATTTATATTTTACTAAATCAAAAAATTTTAAAAATCCTGAATGTGCAAATGATGAATTCGTATGATCCCTATAACCAAGTCCATGAACAATTCTAATGGCCCTTTTCTGTAGTTTAAATAATGAGCATAATGCGCTTTTGTATGTATTTCCCCAACACTCAACACAGTAGTCCAAATAAGGTACAAACATAGAACAGTAAAGAGTATGGAGTGACTTCTGATCCACAATATTTTTAACTCTTGCCAATATAGATATACTTTTAGCCAATTTATTATGTATATATTTAATATGAGGTTTCCAACAGATTTTATCATCAATATTTATGCCTAGAAATTTTGTTTCGTAAACTCTTTCTATATTGGCATCCCCCACCCTTACTTGAATCTGACGATTTAATCTTCCATATCCAAACAGCATGAATTTTGTTTTGTCCAGATTTAGTGATAACTTATTCCTGTCACACCATTTCTTCACCTTGTCCAATTCCACAGTAATCAGACCCAAAAGTTGCTGTAGGTCTTCCCCAGAGGCCCATATAGTAGTATCATCAGCAAATAGTACAAAGTTCAATAATTCAGAAACATTGCATATATCGTTAATATACAGTATGAAAAGTTTAGGACCCAAAACTGACCCCTGTGGGACTCCACATACTATATCCAGAAAATCTGATTGGTGCACGCCCAGACTTACAAATTGCCGTCTGTTAGTCAAATAACTTTTTATCCATTTCAACACCAAACCTCTAATACCATACCTTAATGTTATTCTATATAACAACCTGACCCATAAATATTTCCTTTTGCCAACATCAGTGCACAATGTAAGCATAAAAGTAAGCGAAGCGCCCTGCCCTCGTTTTACTGATGTGTTCCCTCGATGACCACTGCAGTACTCCGTAATAACTTGTTTGGTTTTAAGCTAGGGCCTTGCAGTATTTCTTGGGAACCCAGGTGCCATTTGCTTCTTGTGTTGTTTTGGACCGTCATCAGTGTGCATCTTTGATATTAGGCACACTGAAAGAAAAAGGCAGAATGTGATTGTTAAATATGAGTCACAAATTGATTGCATTTGAGGGGCATCTATGTCCCAGCAGGAGTCCATTTTGGACTAGTCATCCCCCACGAACAGTATCAAGAGTTGCATTTTTAAGTCACAGACTTATTCTGGCTTAGCTTTAAATATTATAGATCAGCTGGATGGTGGGAACCATGCTATAAATCAAATCAAATCAAATCAAATTTTATTTGTATAGCGCCAAATCACAACAAAAGTCATCTCAGGACACTTTACAAAGTAAGGTTTAAACCTTACTGTTATCAATATTATTACATAGGGAAAACCCAACAAATCCCCCTTGA